GGTGTCCAATAAGTACCACGACAAACTTAATGAGAAGGTAGGCTTTGGACTCACCTTAAAATTAAAAAAAACTTACTATAAAGGTGTCACCGTTTTTGAGATATTGAATTTTTTCTTAAATTTAATATCTCAACTTTCATAAAATCATATCAGGAGCAGGTAATAATAATGTAGCTTTGTACTATTTAGCATGTCACTGATCGGTAACCAGTGCAACTTGAATTTAAATCCAATTATTACTTTGTAGTGTCTGTCAGTCACTTACAAAAGCAGCTCTTTTTTCTATTCCAAATGGTATGTGTGGTGCCTTTCTGAAATCTGTATTCAATGAGCAATCTATTTATTCAATACAATGCAGTTATAGCCCAGTACATTTTTGTTTCACCACAGATAGTCAAAGTTGAGGAAAAAATATCAGAAAGTTATAAATCCCAAAATAGTCATTTGATCATGGTTGCTTAATATCTTTTAACTACATTGCATTTGTAATGGGTGATTTTTTTGCTAGTATCTTTTTGGCAACACTGTTTTTGACAGATGACGCGTGAATCGTGTCTTGTGTCATTGTCAAACGTGTTCAGTTTGGTCTATAATTTAACCATGAGCACTGCTTCTAATTTATGGGCAATTTGGTCGGCCTACTGAGGGAGCTATTCGGAAGCTTGTGACTAACTTTCGAACCCAGTTTACATTATTGGACATTAAACCACCAACACGCAGACGTAGAGTGAGGACTGAAGAAAATATTGCAGCTGTATCCGCCAGTGTTAGTGATGACCGTGAAATGTCTATTCGCCGCCGTTCGCAGCAATTGGGCCTCTCTACGTGGAAAATTTTGCGACAGGATTTGGGTGTAAAACCTTATAAGATACAGCTGGTGCAAGAATTGAAGCCACACGACCTCCCACAACGTTTCCAATTTGGTGAATGTGCGCTGGAAAAGTTGGAGGAAGATCCACATTTTTATCGAAAAATTGTGTGCAGCGACGAAGCTCATTTCTGGTTGAACGGGTACCTTAACAAGCAAAATTGCCGCATCTGGAGTGAAGACCAACCAGAAGCATTGTAAGAGCTACCAATGCATCCCGAAAAAATCACTGTTTGGTGTGGATTATGGGCCGGTGGCATCATCAGGCCGTACTTCTTCAAAGACGACAATGGCCGGAAAGTAACTGTGAATGGCGAGCGCTACCGTGCAATGATAACAAACTTTTTTTTGCCCAAAATGGAAGAGCTGGACTTGGCTGACATGTGGTTTCAACAAGACGGTGCCACATGCCATACCGCACATCGTGTTTCGTAACAATGGCCCTATTGAGAGGCGAGTTCGGTCAACAGTTTATCTCACGTTTCAGGCCCGTCAATTGGCCGCCTAGATCGTGTGATTTAACGCCTTGTGGGGCCATGTTAAGGCTAATGTCTACAGGGATAAACTAGCAACGATTGACGCACGGGAAGCCAATATTGAAGCATTTATTCGTGAGATACCGGCCGATATATTGGAGAGAGTGTGCCAAAATTGGGCCTTGCACATGGGCCATCTAAAGCGGAGCCGCGGCCAACATTTACATGAAATAATCTTTAAACATTAAATTGTATCGACCGTTCTATCAACTCAAATAAAGATTTAATCGTTTTTTCAAATTTTTTGTGTTTTTTTGAAAATCAAATCCTATACCTCTTAAAAAATCACCCGTTATATGATAAAGCAATTATCTAGAAGTATTTTATAGAAAAAATGAACAAAGTATAACCTTATTTGTGCACGCAGCTAAAGACCACAGATGAAAAGGTTCGTTTTTTTTTTAATTTAAGAAAACATTCAATATCTCAAAAACGGTAACATTTTCTGTTATTTGGGAGGTCAATTCAAAGCCTATTCTCATTAAGTTTGTCGTGGAACTTATTGGACAACCAATATATACATACATTTTCATGGCTAAAACTACACTATCTTACCACATCGATTTAAGAAAAGTCTATTCCTTCCAGTGAGGAAGAATTTCAGAACAGATGCTTATAGGAACGTTTTCTATGTTCTCTTACGATTTTTTACTGTAGAAATATTGCTATTGTTTTTGGTATAATGTTGTACATATAAGAAGCCTCAAAATTTTTTAAACCAAATAAATCTCTTCGAACCGATGTCGCAGTGTGGAAACAACAGAGTAGCCACTCTTTCGCTTCCTCGAGATCATTTCTGTGGAGATAATGTGAATAGTTGGCATCCGCATTTTAGCTAAGAATTAACACCGAAATGGTATCAGTTGGATAATGCGCCATTTTCTTCGCCCTTTGCTGTAACCTTGGATGAGGGAGGCTAGCGAAAATATTACGAAGGGGAGAAACAGGGAAAGTCGAAAGATTCAATCTTGAAATTCAACAAACTGTAGAAGTTACTTTCGTGAAAGTATGATGCCAACAAATAACGTTGAAATAGTAATGGTTATTGATTTACTGTTAACCAAAGGTACGTCAAGAAACTGAAATTCTGTTCGCAGAATTTTCACCACTTTATCTTTAGGAAACCTCTACATTCCGGAATAAATACCCAGATATCTACTAGAAAGTGAGACAAGTTTGACTTATTTCATTTTGAAGATGGTTTTCTGCAGCAGGACAGGGATATATTGGTCTAAACAGTCTACCGAAGACATGTAGAGGAATAACAAGTATATTAAAAAAATGGCTCATAACGGATTATGTTATACGAGGGATGTATTTTAAGTTTTGCATATAGAAACATAGTAGGCCGCGCGGATCGAACGTCAGTACTGAATCTTAACCTCACTCTTTAGTAAACGTGAAGTCAAAGTTTCACAACAATACGTGCAGTGTTCCCACTACAGTGAATTTTTAAGTGTCACCAAGTCATTAGAAAAATGGAACTCAACCGAGAACATTTTCGCGCCATAATTTATTACAACTTTCAGAGACAATTATAACAACAAGAATGCCTTGCTGAGTTACTGTCTGTTTTCGGCAACAAAGCGTCACATCAGTCGACAATTTCCCGTTGGTATGGAGAATTCAAACGTGGACGGGTGAGTCTTAGCGACGATCCCAGGGTGGGTGCACCAAAAACGGCAGTCACCCAGGAAAACGTCGATGATACGCAAACTCATCATTGAAGATAGATATGTGACATATCGTGAAATTGAGGCGTCCTTGAAGATCTCAAAGACCTCAATTCAAAAAATTTTACATGAAGAATTAGCAGTAAGAAAATTAGTTTCTCGTTGGATACCCCACCTGTTGACTGAAGAGCACAAAGCCGCCAGGGTCAATTGGTGTCAAAAAACGCTTGACCGTTTCAATTCCGGAAACTCAAAAAATGTGTACAGCATTGTTAGCGGTGATGAATCGTGGACTTACTGTTATGAACCAGAAAATAAACGACAGTCTGCTGTTTGGGTGTTCCAAGGTGAAGAAAAGCCAACAAAAGTAATCCGTTCTCGAAGTGTTTCGAAAAAGATGGTCGCGACATTTGTGTCAAATGCGGGTCATATTGCAACAATTCCTCTTAATGAGCAAAGAACTGTTACTGCGGATTGGTATACCACCATTTGTTTGCCAAAAGTCATCACCGAGCTTCGAAAAATCAACCCCGAAAGAAGAATCATCCTCCACCAAGACAATGCAAGCTCGCACACTGCCCAAAAAACAAGGCAGTAGTTAACAGAAGAAAATGTGGAATGATTGGACCATCCTCCATATAGTCCCGATCTAAGAACTAACGATTTCTTTACTTTCCCGAAAATTATAAACAGACTGCGTGGTCAAAGGTTCAAAAATGCCGTTTTGGGTCTGCCAGCAAACGAGTGGAATAAGTGCTTCGAAAATTGGTTCGAGCGCAAGCAGATGTGTATTAATCTTCGTGGAAAATACTTCGAAAAACAATAAAGTCATTTAAAACTAACTACCGTGTTGTTTTATTTCCATATGCAAAACTTAAGAGACATCCCTCGTACAAGTTAGAATCTATCGTAATAAGTCAGCGCCATAGTATTTATATCCTGGATAGAGAATAGTTCCTATGCTTCGTTGTCCCCAGAGACGAAGCATAGACCTTGCTGATGAGCTGGTCAAAAGGCATGAAACAGCTGTCTGTAGTTGGCTGTCCCTGGTTGTATGGACGAAAGCAGTATAATTAAGTTAGACGTTCTAACACAAGATTTTTTATTTTTTTTTTTTGTTTTTGTTTCTTCAGATGAAATCACCTGCTTTTTATTTGTTTTCTGTTCTTGTTATTTTGATTTATCTTAGGATTGTCCTGTAAATGGTTTCCTTAGCTGTTGGGTAATAAACGCTATTTATTTATTTATTATTTAAGAGTTAGTTACGAAGATGCATAAAGAGAAGTCCATAATATCCTTTCCCTGCCCTACCCGTAGTACCGTCCATCTGACAAGGTCGTATCGCCTGTCCCCAATACCTGGAAGCATGATGCGCCGCACAGTCATGAAGGGCACATACGAGCACCAGCACACGCCGGCTGTTGAAGTCAACAGTCTCAAGGGTAAATGTACGTGATAATGTATGATATGTGAAATATGTATAATAGGCGCATATAATTATTGAGGTTGGACACTCATTGATATACTAATATCAAAAAATTACAATAAAAATAAAAATCACTTAATCTTCGTTTTTTTGTCATTACAGAGGATTCTGACAATTTTGGAAATTTTTTTGTAGGGGTGCAAATTTGGGGGTTGGTGGTTGTAAATGTAACGTCTTTAGTATAAGTCAAAGACGTTCTATCCTTAAGCTTATTATCCCAGTAACAATGGGAACATTAAAGTGCGATGTATAATGTGATCATAATTCGAAATAACCTTGCAGTTGGCGTTGCGTGCACGGGGGATGCTGTATCGTCGTGGAGGTCACTGACGACTGTGCGATGGGTAAAAAATTCCAACTAGTCTACGGCGATGTCGTCAGTGACACACCGCTACAGGAGAAATATTTATATACTCTAGCAATACATATTTGGATATAAGAAGCACGTTCCACTTTAGCGTTCTGCGACGCTTTTAAAAATGATTACTTACTACTGTTTTTATATGTGTAAGTACGTATATTTTTCTGAATTTTATAATCCTTAATTGTACCACTCATTTCACCTAACATTTAACTTGTGTTACTGCGTCCATGATGGTTTTATTAATATTTCTTCTAGTAGATGGACTCAGTGCTTATGAGACACATTGATATACACCGATGTGAAGTTAACAGCGAAATTCCAGCAGATACCCGGAGATACCCGAACGAACAGTGGCGTCCTTCCATAAGGAATAATATGCTCTTATAGCCCTAGTTAAGGTAAATATAGAAAATACAAGCAGAAACAATTACGGCCTGAATAAACTAGATGAGAGAACTTCTAAACGGATAGCAACCAAAAACCAGATAATAATAATAATAATATTTATTTACTCTAAAATACAGGGAACATGAAACGAGTAAATACATATAATATATCCATAGGAGGACAACGCCTGTGCATGGATCATATGTATGTTGAATTGCAAAATATAATAAAATAGAGAGAAAAAATAAATTATTGGTAAGAATGGTAGAGCATTTATTGTGTAATATTTGAGATTATTTTATTAATTTGATTTCTCCCAATCGTGTTAATAAATTTTTTTAATTTTTTTTTGAAGCCTAATGTATTGCGTAATTGTTTTAAATTATTTGGTAAATGTTCGTACAATTTTGGAGCTATATACAGGTGACATCGTTTCATTAGGGATTTGTTTGGTTTAAGAACATTTTTTGCGCGTAATTTATATCTGGTTTTATGATTATGTTTAATTATGTCGTGTTCACTAATAGTTTTGTGATAATGAGTGATGGTATGTAAGAAGTAAAGTTGTTTAGCATCATATACTTGTGCATCATTATATAAGTCATTAGTTGGGTATAATTTTGATTTGCCTAACATTGATTTTAAAATTCTTCTTTGAAGTAAATCTAAATCGTTAAAGTATGTCGTGCATGCAGCACCCCATACTACTATACCATATGTTATGTGTGGCTCGACTAAAGCTTGATATATTATTCGCATATAATATTCAGTTAATATACCGGTTAGAAATTTTATTTTATATGCTATGAATCTAATTTTATAATATAGGGTATATACTCGTAGTTGTAAATTGTTGCATATTTGATGTCAGTGGAAGACCTTCCATTATTAAGAAGCTGTTGATCTCAGTGATACTATGTACCTGTTAGACATAAGTCACACATATTTTCCCTGCATGAGCCATGGAAACGGAGATTCGTCGTACCTAATCACGTTTCGATTTCACCTTTTGAAACGATTTGACTTATCCCTTTCTTTGAAACCTCCAACGAAGACGAGGAAGTACAGCGTCAATCTTCTTGGCGCCATTTTTGACATCGGCAGTCGCAACAACAAAAAATCTTACGACTAAATATGTATTAGGATTAGGGTAAGATTAAAGTCATCTCTAAAGGAACGTGAAGTTTTGCAGGATTACACCTTAAATGAAAAAATACAGAGCCGTTCCATTAATCATTTGAAGTATCGAGATGATTCTCGTTAGCATGAATATCAAACGAAATGACGGTTACCTTGCGAGTGAATTTACACAAATTTCCGTCCGTATTTTTTCTGTTCATTGATATAAATGATATCCATCTCCCCTTGGAAATCAGATCAAAGTCAAATATAATAAGGGTCCAAAGTGTATATCCCCAAATATATTCCACTGTTAACCAGATGAAATTGTTTTTCCGTCCTCTGATGCGACGCTTACCGTTGGTATTGAGCACAATTTTTTAAATAGTTTTAGCCTTGCGTTAATAATAATCGTACATGATTTAGGTGTAATCGTAGTAGAATTGTTGCAGTGCCTCCTGTAATACATTCACTGCATGAATACCGCCCTTTCCTCATGAGCTGTGCTGAAACAGATTGGCAGAAGGTTGACGGCAATTGTTTATTAAAAACAATACTTTGCCCACTGTGTTTTAATTCCCCGCGTGCGAGGGGAAGTCGAAGCCACATGTTAAGAGGATAAAACCAAGCAAAGACAATATAATGGGTGTTTCAAATTCGACCCTCACCACTGGGATCTCGGAAACGGTCAGAAATAGTCAAGAGAATTTTCCGAACGTCGTTTTTATTCATTTGTAGTGGGATTTCACATTATGTATTAACATTAATATTGTCACTTTGACTCCTCCACAAGATTTCTATTACCTCCAGCATCAACTTTATTTTTGCTTGAGCACGCTATATTACCAAACCGTAATTGTTAAAAAACAGAATTTCCTAGGTAGGTCTCTAAATTATCACAGTCATTTGTTTCTCATACCAGATTGATCATTTTTATTATTTCCAGAGTTATCGACCCACACTGAACACCCTGTATATACTATATGTCTTCTTTTTTGCGCCTTTCTTTGAGCCTCCTTATAGTCTAAACCTAATTCACTTAAGCGCTTGTCCTCACGCCAATCGTAAAATCCAATTTTAATTACTGGAAGCAATTATCGTTTGAGGTGAAATGCACCTTAAAACGGTCCTCAATGACTGCAACGCAGCCATGTGAGTTTTATTGTCTTGTGCTAGTTTTCTGGTTGTTACAAAATGTACAGTGTGCGTTGTGTATATTTAGGCGTGAAATTTCATAATGCCCAACATGAAAATATATACGAGCATCGTTTTCTGGGTCGTCTGAATGCATACGTGAATACATATCTACCTGTACGGGGGTTGTTCGAGAAGTTTTTCATCTTAGTGCCATGTTCGTTTTGGCTGGAGAAAGTGGGCGTGATTCGTCATCCGTCAGTCTCATATCTAATCATGGAGTTAACTTTGTGATGGAACGTTTAATGATACGAAGAACCCAGGAATATAATATTTTGACGAGAGTGAATGCATTTAGGAGCTTATTAATATCTTATAGTAATAGCTTCAAGCTAAACAATACAATATGTATAAATTCTCAATTGTCTTTTGAATTTGATAAAATTTTGTAGATTTGATTTCAGCTGGTAAATTATTAAAAGCTATAAGGCAAACCTATTCCTTGTATTGTAATTATGAATCACAGACAAACTGCAAACCTTCCAATGTGTCTTCGGGACACATTGCTTTCTTTATTTTGTAGATGACTATCATTGTATTGTAAAATATATTTTGTTTGATACTTAATAAATAGTTACTTCTAACATGTCTTTTATTCTTGTGTATCTATACTAAGTGACATGTAAATCCGAACACCCAGTTTAAATGGTTTTATTTTAATAAAAGTTGGTGAATGTATTTATCTTACTGTAAATAACAAGTGAAAAAATGTTCAGCCTTATCAGTTGGACATTCCGGTTTATATACTGCTTTTTTTAATTCACTAACGCTCTAAAAATGAATATTTCAGCCGCAGTAAAGAATCAACGTTGGCGGATTTTGGTTCTTGACATCCTTTACGATCGGTTACGATGCCTAGAGTACGGAGACCTGTACGATTTCGTCAACTTAGTGAGTTTGATAGGGGCCGTATAGTGGGACTTCGGGAAGCTGGACTTTCTTTTCGGGCAATTGCAGTTAGAGTGCAAAGAAGTGTAGACACTGTGGTTAGGTGTTGTCAGGCATGGCTTCGAGAAGGCCGTACGCAAAGAGCAAGGGGCACTGGACGCCGCCGTAGAACAACAGACCGTGAAGATCGCCGCCTAAGATTATTGGCCTTAAGGGACCGTTTCTCCACTACCAGGTCCATTGCAAATGAATGGTTTGCAGAACACGGAAGACCTATTGGCATGCGAAGTGTTTACCGACGAATGAGAAGTTTTGGCTTGTTTTCATACCGGCCACACTGGGTCCTCCCTTTAACTCGAGAACACCGACGTAATCGCCTTGAGTGGTGCAGACAACGGTCACTCTGGGATCAGGAATGGAACAGTATTGTCTTTAGTGACGAGTCTCGATTTTGTTTAGGCATGCACGATGGTCGTGCCAGGGTTAGAAGGCGACGTGGTGAAAGGAGGAATCCACAGTTTTTTGTTGAAAGACATGTTCATCACACTGTTGGAGTTATGGTTTGGGATGCTATAGCTTATGGTTCCAGGTCACCTTTAATCTTCATCAGAGGTAACATGAATGCGCAGCGTTATATCCACGAAGTTCTAGAACCCCATCTTTTACCCTATCTTAACACCCTGGCAGATCCAACTTTCCAACAAGATAATGCCCGACCACATGTTGCAAGAGTCACAATAGACTTCTTTCAACATAATGATGTCACATTGTTACCATGGCCACCAAGATCTCCCGACTTATCCCCAATTGAGCACGTGTGGGATATGATGGGTAGGAGATTGCTCAATTTGCAACGTCCACCTCAGACTCTAGAAGCACTTCGAGAGGAGTTGGTGGTTGCCTGGAATGAGATACCACACGAGGACATTGACCACCTGATCAGAAGCATACCTAGGCGCGTTGAAGAATGCGTAGCACATCAGGGTGCATCCACACATTATTAAAGGTCAAAGGGCTTTGAAGCAGTGCAATCATTTTGAAATTTTTATCATTTACTTATTATGCTTCATTAAGTACTTATACAAAATTTTATTAAAATAAAACCATTTAAACTGGGTGTTCGGATTTATATGTCACTTAGTATACATGCACACCAGGTTGTTGTGTTCAACCCATGGGCGCCCGCATGGCAGGCTGAGAATACGCTTGAACCGTCAAAGTTGCATATTTAGCATGACTACATCTTAATATACATCTAAGAGCCTGAGATTTCGTTTTCTCTGTAGCGAATCTATATCACCTTTCTGAAACATATATAATGTGGAGGAACAGTAGTTAATGTGAAGCATGACTTTTGTTTTATATATAAGTAGTGACATCCATGAACTAAGGTCCTTTGTTACCCTACACATTGAATTAACTTTTATAGAAACTTTTTTTATAATATAATCTGCATGGCTATTAAATGTTAAATTTGAGTCTATCATAACTCCTAAATATTTATAATTGTTATAAATCCGTCGTGTAGATAAGTATTCTGAACATTAAATTTAGATTTCAGTATCATACACTTAGGGCCAATTTCACCAACATTAATATTATGGACCAATGGGGAAATACCTTATCGAAATGCAATTTGACGGAAGCTGTCAAAGGTCTCAGAATATTAGTGATTTCTATTAAAATATGGAATAAAATCGTGAAAATTCGACTGTATTATAAACAAGACCACTTGATGCTTTTGTACAGAAAAAACAGGACAACTTTCATGTATTTTTGTAAAAATTTTATCGAAAAACGAGAGGAACTTCTCCTCGTCATAGGCAGTCCAAAGATTACCGGACAGGCAGACACACCGACAGACCTATGGAAATGGGTGAAATGGTTTTTCATTATAA